TGTGTGTGTGTGTGTGTGTGTGTGTGTGTGTGTGTGTGTGTGTGTGTGTGTGTGTGTATAGAGCTGTGTGTGTGTGTGTTTGTGTGTGTGTGTGTGTGTATACACACACACATATACAGCTCTATACATGTTATATTCTGTTTTGTTGAATTTAATCCTTTTATTTGTTCATTTATAAAAAAATTTTTATATAACAACACAACTTATAGTAATATATAATAACATATCTGTAAAGAATGCATTACAAAAATTTCTTTTTCCCAAGCAAATAATTTTCGTTTAAAAAAAGTTTATCTAGAACATTTTTATATATTAAAAATGCAGATAGACAAAATTAAATAGATATTATTAATGTCAAATATATTGAACCGTTGAAATGTATCGTAAAACGGTATTTGAAATTAATAAAAAAAATATTAGTAGACATTATAAACGTTTCATAAACATTATTTCTATAACGTTTATTATATATTTATTTAAATGTTTATTTTTCAGTTTACATATTTATTAAATATACTATTTCTAACGTTTATTAAATGTATTTTGAACAAAAATGTATTTCTTGGGTTACTACCTGTGTGAATTTGAAGTATCTGTAATATCTATTATGAAAAGTTATATTGTCGTAATTAAACATTGTTATAACTTAACAATTTGGTGCTAATAACTAACATGCAAATTAGGTTATTACAACTGTTAAGAAGAATATACGTGGCCAATTGTGCTGTGAGTTATTTTTCGTTCCATAATTGGGAATATAGCAATGTAAATAGATTGTCTCTAATGTCTCTAATACCACCTGAAAACTGGGAGGAATTTTCTTTTGACCGTTTCAATCGCAAAAATTATATGAAGTAAGTTAAGTATAAGTTTGCAAGTATATTATGTTTATTATTCTCTAAATAATGTTTATAATGAAAGCAATTTAAAGCTAATAAATATTTATTTTACAATATGAAGACATAGTATCAAAGGTGTAAAAAAATTTCTTCTTCACGAAGATGTAAATCTTCTTCAATTGGATGCAGTCAAAGCACGTAATAAAAGGTATAGGATACATTATAAACAATACTTATTAATGTTTACACATTTTTACATTCGTATTACATTTAAAAAAAAATTGACTTTTATTAGATAAGATATAATAAGAATAGAATGTGTAAAAACAATAACAGTTAGATATCCAATTACTTTTCGAAAATTAACGGATAAAAATCTGTATGTGAAAAGAATAGAAATAAGATTTATATATTTACAAATTTGTTTTTTCTTGGCAATTACATCTCACAATCAGATATTTATGTCAAAAACATTAAAATCTTTATTACAAATTTAATAATATATTTGTTATCTGAATGACAGAATAATAATAAGTTTAATAATATATTTAATAATGATTTGTAGAAATATTAATCATAAATTACACATTGTCGTTAATACATTTTGTATTACGAATAGAAAATATTTAGGAAAAAAATTATGGATATAATAGCTTTAGTATATATTAAATAATAAGATAGAATTTATATAATATACCTAAGTTTAAGAGATATTTGGAAAATAACTAAAATGTGTATACTAATCGTATTTATTTTATTTTCTAGAGTGTTTCTACTTGTTAGAGTGATAAAAACTATCATCTCTATCGGTATACTTTGGATTATGTATAGATGGTCTTTTATGCATTATAAATAATAATATCTATAAAAAAGTTGATTTATCCATTATATAACGAACTATAATTTACGGCAGTCAAAATAAATATATAACGCATAATTTAAGAAATATGAAAGAAAAATAATCTTTCAGCCAAAAGATGTTCTTTTACAGACATCTCTTATTGTATCATTAAATAACGGATAATTTAGAATTTAATGTTAAACAACATTATACGTACATTAATATATATTATATAGTTATATTTACAAGAATGTATCTTTGGAAATATGAAATAAAATACAGTTTGCAAGTAAAATTGTATATGTTTCTAATGTGCAATGATGTACGAAGATAAACGTGCAATTATTTACATTTGTGATAAGTCATCTACAACACTATTGCAATCTTTTATAGAAAGAATTAAGTTCTTAATATATGCAATTTAACATATAAGAATACAAGAATTTGCTGTATAAAGAGTTCAAGAATATTATTCTCATTATATATTAATTTTACTGTTAATATAATAATAAATAAATATTAAATAATGATAAATAAATATTGATAAATAAATATTAAATGATACATAAATGTTAATATAATGAGTTAATATAATGATAAGAATATATTCAATTCTGTTAGATTTTTATATTTAATTATTGTATTAAATTATTTATTATCGTATTAAGAACGAGATATTGCGCTATCTATATTGTAGACCGTCTATATTGTAGATGAAGATCAAGTTAATTTTAGTTACATTTACACAAGTTCGTTTTCAAATTATGTTTAATTGTTTTATTGTTTTTTTACCATTTTATTGTTTTAACTGTAATTAAAATATTATTTTTTAATTAATTTTGTTAAATTTTAACGACACGATAAATATGTATACATTAGCTCTTTAGGCCGGACGAGATATAATACATTCATTACCTGAAAAAGAATCATCTCTCTCTCTCCCTCCCTCCCTCCTTCCCTCACTTCCTCTCTCTCTCTCTCTCTCTCTCTCTCTCTCTCTCTCTCTCTCTTTCTCTCTCTCTTTCACAACAAAATAAAAATCAAAGTTGATGTCTCAATAATAAAGCAGATGAAAGTAACGTATCATAAGTAAAGGTACCATATTAATATCATTAATATTCCTGTAATGTAAATAGCCGCAAGGCAAAATTCTTTAGATAGATCGGCATTGGTTACTTGTTTGCTAATGCTTTTATAACGTCCACACAAGCAGGAGCAGAAGTAATTTTTTCATAACAAGTTTTCTTGATCGCACAAAATATATTTTTTTATAACAAAGCTGTAACGTATTATTACAAAAACATAATAAAGTTTATTTTTATCAAGTATTTTTCAAGTTAGAGACTTGAAAATTATAGTATACTGCCACGCCGACGCGTTAACATTATCCAAATTGTGCCACGCGAAAGTTCTCCGGTCAAATTTGCACCGTTTTTGTGTAATGTGTGTTAATAAATAATAATGATGAAATAATGAAGACATTGAAATAAAATTAACTTCAATTTATGTTTTTCAATTAACATCTTTTATTGATATTAATTATTAGTGTGTGTTTTGTTTTAGTATATTATAATTATAAGTTTACAATTAATATTATTTATTATCTCAAATTTTCAATGGAGAGAATTAGTAATCGATTTTTAAGATAACATAAAGGTCTTCGACATTTTTTTTTTTAATTAAATGATTGTTTTTATATAATCTATGTTTTTTCATTAAAATCCTTTACGAAATGTAATAATTACATTTGTACTATAATTGTACTATAAAACTAAGTTCATTTTTAATCATAAATTGAGGGCAATGTTGCCCAATGCATATGTCATAACAATTAACAAGTCATGTATTTGAGTTGTGTCATTTTTGAAGTAATGGAGCGATATAATGTTATTATGTGATATATATTGTCTGACAGTTCTGAAATCTAAATATTAATTAAATATATAATAAATCAAATAATAAATTAAAATTTTTCCCAGTAAACAGAAATAAATTAAAATAGATTACAATTTTATCTATACAAATACGTATTTTAAAGAAAAACTTTTTGGTGGAGTTAATTGCATTTAATTAGATTCAATGGAATTGAAAAATTGCATTTTCTATTTAGAATTTTGAATTAAGAAATATTTACAAAACACAAGAGAAGCTAATACTATTTTTAGATTGAAAGACATAGAAATATACTTCATACAATTCCTATAAATAAATAAAAATGCATTCGGATTCTTAACGTTCGCGAATGCGTATTTTTCCGAAAATCCGAATCCATTTCAATCCATTCTCATTTACTGGGCGATTGTAAAAAGCGGCGATTGTAAAAAAATTGGAAATTGAATTATAAATTATAAATTATTAATTTATTCATATTTATACATCGATTTCCATATATTGTAAGCTTAATTTTTTTATAAATAATTACAACATATATATATAATATATTAAAGATAGTAAACATTGCACATAACTATAAGTTGCTTTTTGTATAGACATTAAAAATCCATAAAATTTTATTTTTATGTAAATGATACTTTATTTGCTATTTTTTGTAAATACTTTCTGTATTGTACAAATATATATAAAAAAATTTAAATTCCAAATAATAAATAATCTCATTTTGAAAATACAGTAAATATATCAAAAAGAAATATCTTTCAATTAAAAAATTAATTTTTTTGTGCATAACATATATTTATTCATCATAAAATATATATAATATTTACTCATCATAATTTAATAAGTTTAGGTCAGTAATTTAATGTACCGGAGAAGATCCACTTATACATTATCCACAGTACTCCAATAAAGATAATAGTTTTTATTATTCTGACGAGTAGATACACTCTAGAATATAGAATATATGCTATAAATATACATATTCAAATTTTGATTATATTATATCTCTTAAACGTACATTATATAAACTCTATTATTTTTATAAACTCTTTTATAAACTCTTATTATTTAATACGAACTAAAGCTTTTATATCATCGAGTTTTCCTTTTTCTTTGATATTTAATTCTAAATTATTTGTGTTATACAGAATATATAGGAAACAGTAAGTAATTTATAATAGTAAGTAATTTATTTCAATATTTTTATAAATAATTATTTAAAAAGTCTTATTTTATCATTCATATAACAAATATAATATTAAATTTGTAAGATTTAGAAATTTTTGACATATTTAACTGAGGTAAAATTATTAAGAATGTAAATGTTAATTATATACCTATTTTTTATATATAATTAGAATCATTATTTTCTAAATTATGAACTTTTACCTTTTATTATGTTCTTTGACTGCATCTAATTGACTCATATCTTCGTGAAGAAGAAACTTTTTGGCACCAATGGCACTATTTCTTCATATCATGAAATAAATACTTTTTGGCTTTAAATTGTTTTTATTGTAAATATTATCTATTTGAAATTAAAAATGTAATACACAACTTACTTGCAATACGTTCTAATATCAAGATTGGAACATTCAAAAGAAAACGAATCAAGATTGTCATGTGGTATTAAAGACGTCAGAATCAACCTATTGACATGGCTATATTTCCATTCATGGAATGAAAAGTAACTCACAGCACGATTGGCCACATATACTCTTCTCTGGAGTTGTACTAACCTAATTTACACTTTACTTATTAACAAGATACAGTTTAGTTAATACAGTTTTAATACAGCTATATATCTCAATCTGTGAATTGAGAATCCAAAAATATAAATTAGAGAAAAAACAAGAAATTTGGAAAGAATAAGTACTTTTTTTCATATATAATCATTTTATATAATAGTTATCTCTAAATATGTAATACTAATAAAGCTAAATAGTAGATAAAAAGAAAAAATATTTACGTAAATTGTTTCATACAGAGGAGGAAGATATAATAAGACCGTTTTTTAGCTCAGGATTCTTAGAAAAACAATTTTTTTATATCATATGATTATAATGTTAAAAATAGGAATGTTACATTTCTTTATTAGATTCATTACCAGAAACGTTAAAAGTAACTGTTAAGAAAGAAAGAAAATTCAATCCATAATTAATACCTAAACAACACAAAGCCTGAAATTATGACATAAGTCTTTAAGTCGTCTTTTAGATGCAAAAAACCATCTTATGACCTGATTTTAGATACTTTTTGTTGCCTGGATAGTTAGTCCAAATATCGCTATGGTATCTAAATCCTTTCCATGACTAATAAGTGAATTATATAATAAAATTTTTTTTTTTCATTATACAGCTGCTGTGCCATTATATTAAGTCATATATATTTAGTCAGTTTAGATTACATATATGATCCTTAAGATGAAGATGAATAGAATTCATAATGAAAAAATTTTTTTTTTATTATTCCTGACATATAGATGGCTACAAAAAATAGATGATCACTGTTAGTTGCTTACAGATTGAAGTCTCCGCATTGTCAAGTTTGTGATTATTATTTTAATATTTTCCTTTCTTCATCTTTTTTCAATTTGTATTACAATTATATTATTTATTTTATTTTTTAATTTTAAGTTTTTTGTACGTATTAAACACTGCGATCATGACTTTTAAGCATCTTCTGATGATCAGAATTCGATGATTACTGATTAGGTAAAAATAGCTATATTATACTATACTTAGATTAATAATAATTAATTATGACTTTATGTATCCAGTTTCATTCCTCTCTAATAATTATTTTTGATCATGCAAAAAAAGTAAATTTTTTTTAAATTCTAATCATAGGGAGTCGACCGGGGACAATAGTAACATTGTTAATATTTCTTAAACTATAAATGTGAATGGAGCTACATGGTAAAATTCTGTAGACGAATTGGCATTGAATTCGTTACATGCTGATTATTGCGAAACGTGTACAAGTGCAGGAACAGAAATTACTTTTTTCATGCATCAAGATTATATTGCGTGCACAAAATCTAAATTTTTTTTTTCTTTATAACGAAGATATAATATATTATCTTAATACGTTTAATTTCTGCGTTGATGCTTTGCACA